CCTAGCCCGGACATACGACACACGCAAAATCGCCTTTGGAAATATTTTCGTTTCTTCTTCGAACGACAATAAGGACAACGCACTCATATTTAATTTATTGAACAACACAAATCACCAGCACAGAGCTCACAGCTATAATTTTACATAATTTTCGGTAAATTAACAGTTCATTTAAATTATAATTCATTACATTACAATTTATTCACTTGCACATAAAAACATAACCAAAACAAAATGGCCAAAAAAACGTAAACAATAAGTTGACCAAAATTAATATATCTATTTTCAATTAACAAACGCTACGTTTTGTTGACTTCTTAAATTAGTCGGATAACGAAGAAGCAGTGCTTTTGCAGTTGTATAGAAATTACCAACCTAACAAAAAAAAAATCCAACATCAGCACGAGAAAACAAGCAAATTGTACCGGCTACGCATTAGTACATGCTTCCGCCACCATCACACAATAGCGAGGTGGCGGCGCCACTGGCGCAATGCTCCAATATCGAAGAAAGTAGAAAGTGGTCGTAGTAATTCAATATTTTTTCGATAGATGGCGTTAGTTACCAGTTTTCCAAATTAAGTATCAATAAAATTACGAAATCTCTGTATGATGTTAGTGAATATTCATGTCGTGTTTATGAGTGACACCATGTATTTGACTATGTAGGTTTACCATGATTTTGTAGGGTATGCAGTGCTTATTTGCATGTATGGTGTGCACGCCACTGATCAAACTCATACAAATCTGTAAAACATATTTGTTTGTGTTTTATCGAATTTCAATTTCATCTGGGTTACGTTTGAATACTAAGACTGGATGTAAAGTAAATAGGACAACAAAGGCAGCTCGCTAATGAAAATAAAATACGAACAGACATTGACGTAAGAATAACAGGATTATTATTTTATTCCTTTATTTAAATATTTATGATTGGATCAAGGAGTCTACAGAGACAAGCTCGGAGAGCCTCGGGATACTAATCTTTTGCGCAAAACATTGTACGCAATGGATATCATAACCCGCGTGGGCTTTGTACGTAGGATGTAGCCTGTAACTTGGACATAACTTGAGGTATCTCCTCTCCAACGGAAACATATTATAATTCTTTGCATTCACGTATACATGGATTCCAGATCATTGTGATATTTCATTGTATCGCAACGAATGGCTAACTTGGATACATTTTCATGAAAAGTAAACTTTCAGCATCATTATAATAAGACTTCTTTTAAGTTAAATTTTAAAGTAAGAATAAAACTCCTCATCTGAAGGTAACATTCCAAACAATGATCCTTTCTTCAGTAGGGTTTCTTGCCGGTCCTCCCCCGAGATGTTCTCCAAGGGACCGGGCGCGGGCGCGGGCGTACAAATTGCGAGCAAAACAAACATATTTATTTAGCCACAATACCTCTGCAGCGGCCTGTTTGCTCGCAGTTACGAACTTATCATACGGGCTCTTGTGTTTATCATACATCGTTAAACGGTTTAATGTTAATTGGTTGTTAGGTTTGTGTTGCGGGCCACTGTTGCTAACAGTCTGTCTCTTGCAAGATACGTCACGTCGCTATCTCACACCCTGTTCTCAATATCCAGGGTCTCGGAAATAGCTACGGTTACTAGATTCCCGGAACCTGACCACAATTTCGATCCGTGCGGTTTTACTCAGTCGTATTCGATCCGGATGGCAGGGGAGTTTCTCGTCCGGAAATGCGAACAATTTGTGAGTTTTGCTATGAAATACAAGAACGATATCCCTTTGATGTTGTTCACAAAGTTTGTTTAAATATAATAAACGGCACGATAAAGGTATAATAAAAACTAAAAAGTGTACTTTGGCTGAAGTTGAAGCTCATCACGACATCGTTATATTTTGCGATGCGAATGTCACGCAACCGGACTACTTTTATTATAAAACATTTTCAGTTGGTATTTTCATATCAATCTCAAATTTGAATTAACACCTGCGCACCTGTCCCAAGAAGGTGCTTGATTATCTAAAAAATACCTCCATATTGTTCTAACACATTGACATTATTATGTAACCCACATCTACTCTATAACTAGTACATTTACAGCTGACGGATCGTTTGTTTGTTAACCCTGGGTTGGACTTTTGCGGCATGAATATAATGTGTAGGTAGGGGATGGAATACAAAACAATAAAGTTAGATTATACAATATACCTATGACCTATAAATCACAAGGATATAACCCAGTAGTAAATATTCAATCGTAAACGGAATCGTAGCGTAAGCTTTCCTATAAAATGCTCTTACTCTTTGCCTTCCTCTGCGTATATAACGGAGCGGTATGTTACGCGTTTTAATATTCTAATAAAATATGTAAAATTATATCATGAATGTTTCGTATAAATACGGTTTCGTCACGGTTGGAAAATATGTAAACAATTTCTGTCAACATTTAGACCTATATTAAATACGCCTGTCTAACCTCTATTTATTTTGGTTCGCTCCGAATATTGTTTTATTTATTTTATGGAAGACTAATAAAGAAAATGTTTATTTGAATTACCTTTCGACTATCTAAGCGTGTAGTTATTAATTGTTGTGCAACCAAAAAGGTTACAATTCCCTTGACATTTAGTATGTGTGGTTACCTCGGGCGCTGTCGACGAACCGAGCAGAGGAAGTGCGGTAATTATGTGCGCTGTGGCGAGCACATTAGTTTCATAAAATTAATTAATTAACTATCATAACCGCACATTAAAAATGTACTAATTGAAGGTGCGCGTTTTAAATTCTTTAAATAAATAATTACAATATTGGTTTACGTACGTGCGGACTTGTTATCGATTATAGAGTTCATTTGTATGCATACATGTTGAACTGTATTTGCTTAAAAGAGAAAGAATTAAATTAACTGTTCTTCTCTCTATCACTTTGAACAATCAATAAACGTTTCTGGTCGAGAACTATTGATGAAAGAAAATCCATTTCGTCGAACAAAGCATTTAGATCAAGTAACAGCTGAAGCAGTTTACACGATCTAAACCAACATGTTACATTGTGTAAACATTCGACACGTCACCCGAGACAACACTTGACAAATTGCTACTAACCTTCAGGCTAATCAAACGCTCTACGATAGACAATACACTCTAACGCAAAGATATTGAGTTTACAATGACTTAGCGAGGCAAAATGTGCAGTCAGTACCGGTAATGACCTTGCTTGTCATCAATCTGGTGTCAGCAAGACCTTCACATAGTTAAAGTTATTGCTTTTAATTTACGTACCGATAATATTCTCACTCGTATTACGTAAGTGTCCGAATACGGACATATCGGTGCATTTTTACATCAGGTATCTATTGTGTGATTGTGTGATTTGTGTGCAAGGAACACTATAGCAATATATGTTGTGAATACCACCAATATTAGGCTAAAACTTCGGGGCTCGAAGTAGAAGTTGTTTTCCACGAAAAATATATCCATTTTTGTAATATTTGAAGTATTACTTAATGTTAGTTAATACAACATGTTGTTTATCGTATCAGTAGTGTTATCGTGATTTCGCCATGTCGCATAAAGTTGCATATCCGTGTTGAAGAAATGTGGAATATGTTCAGAAGTATGGTGGCAGAACATTTTTTTTATAATTCATTGGTCGACGTTTGACCACTATCTCGCCTGGTGGTAAGCTCATCTCTCATCTCATCAATGCTTAAAGTATCTAGCATTAGCCATTTTAACACTAAACCAACAAAGCGTAATATTGACGCGTCCCTCAAGTCTGGTTTTCTTGAACATCACAACTATCCGAAATTTTGATACTGTCTTAGAATACTGCACATTAAAAGCCAAAGATGTTTCAAACCCATACATCACAGTACAGTACCTGTTTAGGTACCTTATTTAATGATAGACAGCAGTGTACCATCCACAGATTACAGATGCTCAAGGTAGGCAGTAGATCACATTTATAGCAGTGATCAAGTCACAGACATATAGTTTATCTTGCAATCCAGATAGCAACATGTAATCATATACTTAAGCTAATAAGATTCTTAATGGTGGTGATAAAGTGCCAATCTATATTACTTGTGTATCAATTTTTAATGGTTTTGATAATGCAAATAAATAATGTTAATTTCATTATTCCAATTTGTTAGTTTTCATTTAAGCCAATAAAAATTAAAGCAAAAAATAAACACTTTTTGTCAAAGAAGAAGAAGAATGAGAAGAATACACCAAAATAATAAATGGTAGAAGTTCTGTACATTGAAGTGGATGTTCACACCAACAATGCAACGACTAAGCCATGGGTGGATCTGTGAGGCTAAGTACGACATGGCTCACGACAACGAGGCAATGTATATACTGTGCACAATGGACGATTTAACGATAAACGCTAACACCTACGCTGCCCGCTCACACTCTGCTGATGTGATACACTACTAACACACATTTTTATATCATAATTCATAGACAATTTGTAACAAGTGAAAAGACAATTTATTAAGACATACATATATGTAACAAAGAGAACATCTAAGTTTATTAAACTTATAGATAAGATTCTGACATAGAAATCTTTATGATCAATGATTTTGCACAATATTACAAGCATGATTTATTAATATTTTGCAACTATTTTTATGCAAAAAGTTCACTACATTATTAGTTGATTGGGCAATGACCTACATTGCTTAATATTTGTATCTACAACTGTTAATAAGGCCTCTAGGGTCTACTCAAAGTTCCGAGGTCCTATCAAATTGGTGTATTGGTGTACCAATTACAAAGTCTAGTGAGAGTAGCTACAGATAGTTCAATTGGTTTTATTGGCGTCTAGTAAGATTCTTATGTGAATGGTTAGGAGATATTATAGGAGTGATGCAATGTGATCGAGTGGTACTGCATGAAGGCGGGTGGACATCAGCAGAGGTGATGAGCGCGAGAGAGTGCGCGCGTGAGGCATGCGCGCCGCAACAACCACAAAGCCGATGAGGGAACATATGCGTTGACTGTCGACTCACCGAAATGAGACGTAATATTGCCATGGCCGTTGGCCAGAGGCAACGCGGTCACCAAGTCTTGCACTAAAAAACAACGACTATCTTTTAACATTGCATAAATTCATACTATTCATGAGGCAGCCGGCCCAGCCGTCCCCGTGTCTTATCAAACGTACGGCGAAATTACTCTGATAATTATTGTGCCTATAATTCTTCAAACTTATCAACGGAATTATACTCGTTATATTACAGCAATAAAGCGGCATTAACTACACAGAACAACTTTTATCTAACTAGTATTCTTTTTAAGTTAAATATTTCGATACATTATGACCTCACAATCACAGAAAAATAGGTCAAAATGATAACAGCAGTGTGTTCTGATAAGAATCTAATTGGAGTCCAGCTGCGAGCGGCTTAATCGACCACAAGTTCGCTGTGTCAATGTTATGCCCGCCTTGCCAAGTACGCAATGAAGTAAAGACAACTAGGTACATATCTATGTATAGTGTGCAGGTAAATAGTACGCCACTCACCCGAGCTAAAGTGTGATCGCTTTACGTCTCCATTTTCCGAGTCGCCGTCGAGCGGCCGTTTCCTCGAGTCCGTGATTTCCGGACTGGGGCAAGTATCCATCCCTGTGTCAGCGGCCATGTTGAATTTCAGGGCAAAACTTTAAACTTGTCTAGCATAATTCCCATTACGTAATTGCTTGAAAATATGTACGATTATGCGGCACTATGAATTACTTTAACATAATAACGGTAACACTTAACACTTATACAACTAAAAACGAAGGAAAATTGAAGTTTTGAATGGTGTAGTTAATGAAATAAGAAGAGAAGTGACACTATGGTTGTTACGTCTAAACGTTTTGTGAACGTTTGTCGATACTGCGGCTGTTTGTGGAGCACAGTCAACGTGAAGCTAGCTGCGAATGTCACACCGTTCTGTTGGCTCCCCTGTATAATGACAGTGACCAGCTGATTGCCTTAGTGCTGTGAGCGATATATCGATTACTCGATTTCCATTCATATTGCTCTTTTTTAATAACATGAAGATATATAAAATTTTTTGGTGCATGGTAGTACATTTTTAGGGTTCCATATGCAAAGGATAAAAACTGAATCAAATTATTAAGACTTCATCTCTATCCATCTGTATGCCTGTCAACCGGCTGTATTTACGAAACGTGATAGCTAGTTTTTTAAAAATGAGCTGTTTATTTACTTACCATATTATTATTTATTTACCATAAACTAGCAATATGTGACATAACCAGGCAAATAATATTTTATAATGTATTTGTATAACTTTTTCTTTTTTGGCAAAAAATATACCAAGTACTATTTGAATTAAACGCGACTGAAGAATAGCTAGTTTTATCACGTACATTATGCGTTGCTTATCTACTGATCACAAACAAATAACTATATTTTTTCTATTTAAAACATAGAAGATAACACGGATTCTCAGAGATGATATAGATAGGTAATAATTATGTAACTTTTATCGATTCTGATCTGCATAGTTGTGTCAGAAGACTCTCATCACTATAAAAACATAATGCGCCAAGGTCGTTTATAGACCAATCAGAATTTGTTGATAACTTCATACACGTTCCACTAAATGATTATGCGCGAAATATAAAAAAAAAACAAGATTTCGAATTAGCGCATAACGTATTAGAAGATTATTCTACAAAGAAAATAATATTCTAAAGACAATTAATAATGTTTTTGTAAATTAAAAAGTGTTAAATTAATTATCAGTTATTAAAAAAAGAAATTTGTAAATAATTTGAAAATGTGTTTCTTATTTTTGAAAAAATCAACAAACAGTTATAACACGTCAAAAGTAAAGAATTATCTTTTACTCATGAATTTTTAAAAAATTTAAAATAGTGCCTTCCGGAGACCTAGCAAAATAGTTAGGTCTAAAAACTAGGTCAAGGCACAAGGTAACTATTTCTATCTCATTTCTGCAACTAGATCAGGATTTTAGGTCATATAGAAATGAGAAACTGTTCGAATCTAATATGAATCTGTAGCGCATATCCTAGCTATCCTTTAGTAAAATTCTCCTTTTCACCGGTAAAAATGAAATTGATTTTTCAACTCGAACCTCCATCATATTATATGTTATTATTTCTTGCTCAAAAGTATTTATTATCCACTATGATGATAATTTTTATGAAATCGGAATAGTGTTGAATTATTTGCCGCATAGCTCCTACCTACGTAGCGCATTGCGGGCAAACCTAAGCGCCATCTTTTATCTAAAATGATAAACCTTACTTATCAAACTCGTTGGAAAATACATTTCGTAATTTTTTTACATTAGTAGAAGAGTAATATTATTATAATGGCAAAAATATGCTAGTACCTAATGATAGAATATTGACGTAACAATGGTAACATACGAAGCAATTAACGTGAATTTATTAATCACATTTTTATTATAAATAAATAATGGCCTAAATGGGTTCTAGTTGTGTATTATAGTAGCAGGCACGTTACTCACCTACTTCTATGACTGATTTGAAATACACAACATCACGCCTTTTGAGCCTGTAAAGAGTAGGCAGAGGCTTGTCACATGCTTTGTTATAAGTTCCATGTAGGAATAGGGACGAGCCTATTATAGTAGAACCTAAGTAATACATGTGGAAAGCAATAAAGTATTCAGTATTGAGTAGTATTGGTAAGATGTATTAATTACAGTTCTCTGACCTCAAGATCTGAACAAACCAATGAACGCATTACACTGTTACCAAAATTGTAAATTGCTCTAATTAGATTATGCATGCTTAGCTAGCAAGTACCTTGTTTGTTGAAGGTGGCATACACTTGCACAGCCTTCTCATGTAAACTGCAAATAACCTAAGTATGTAGGTACGTAGATTTCATTTAATATAATGAAAATTTTGAATAAATCGTGTCGAAATTATGTTGTTTAGTAGTCTGTCGTGTGATAGTGAGCGTTTCGTAAGCCATTAGACAAAGAAGGTCGCAGTGATTGCGGCGGCCCACCGGCCCCGCCCACAGCGGCTGGAGTGCCGGGGTGCGTGTCAAACGTGTTTAAATCAGTCACGAACCACCGTGCCACTGCCCGAATTATCACCATTCACCCACAAGCACAACCCAAACTATTTATGAAAAAGAAAAATTGATTCTTTGAATACTCTCCTACAGATTACGTACCTATAGGTACTCCTGTACCTAGTGGTAATAATTATCTATTTGCTCACATCACCATCATCATCACATCAACAAAAATAAACTGTAGCTACCTCATTGGCAATCAGGTCAATCACTTATCTATAATAAAGACGATGAGTTATTCGCGTTAAAACGTTCATTCGTAAAAATTATTAATCCTTATGACCCTTTTTGTAATATGTCGGTAGTCAGAATAATTGAGGTAATATTTGCTATTAGATATCTCAAGAGTACTCAATATAAATCTAAAAAAACCGAAAAGTATGAAATCGACACTTTTATTTCTTGAACTTAGCACATGGCCGCATGTTCTATCGTGGCAGAGTAAATAACGCATGCCTCGTCAATGTTAAAGAAACTTCTAAACTAGAGGTGGTTAGTGTTAATGTATGCTTACCATTAACCTACATTCCGTTTCCATGTGTCCCGGCTTGTAAAAGTAATACATTTCCTTGTACATGATGTCAGGATTTCAGACACTGCACTTCACAGAACGTGCGCAAACAACCACCACAAAGTCACTAAACTAAGGTATTCGCACAGATTAAGCAATTTAATATTGTTACTTAATTTAGTATTGTTATTACTTATGTACTTAATTTAGTGAAACTTGATTAACCGAGAATTATCAGAGAAATAATCACGAACATGGATGACTAGAGACCACTCAGAAGAAAGAGACTTATTATCACCTACCCTCGGTAGCGTTTTTATTTTACTAATAATATCTATATTTTTATGTCGGTACTTTCACAAGATAATGCGAAACAACATCACGGCTATAATCCCTGTAATTTTTGGGAAACGGGTGTTAACGACCGAATTTAATAAACATTATCTGAGTTTGGGCGTTTAGATGACTAGACATCGAGTTTTCATCTATATTACGAAAGTTGTGTTGATCGTGGAAGAGCATTATAGGCATAAATTGTGCACAATACTGCCTCACCCTCGCTCAAAATGTCGACAACGCGTTTGGAACTCTTCTGGGATTTTAAATCCATCATCAGATAAGTTTGCCACACTATCATCAGGTATGGTTGAAGAAGTGGTAGGGCAGGATAGGAAAAAAATGATAGACAACATGGAATACAAAACTAGCCTTTAATATTGCATTGAATTAGTACAAAATTCTCGTTCACTGCACGTTACAGCCCGGCTGTATGTGCTCAGTACTATCGACATGGTATACTACGCTGACTGACGCTAGACGTCTCATTGTATCGAATAAATTATAAGAACCATAGTAAAATAATATCGAGAAGAGATTATACACTTTCTGGGATATTTTAGTATGCTCTGCACTGCCTGCGTGTCTGTGACATAGGGATTACAGGGCATTTTAATATTAAACCTGTTAAGTCCATTAACAATAAAAAAATATGATAATTGCACCGCGTTAATCTTATGTGATGTCCACTTTGTACTTGATTATATACTTGGTAACATTTATATCGCAATAATTAGTAACATAATATCATGATATATTTACTAGGAAATAAGAGCGACTATCAGGAATCCCATGAAATTTAATTCATTGTACCTATTACCTATTAAAAACAAAAAGAATTTAAACCTAAAAATATTTTAAACCAAGATTCGTTGTAGATAAATTCAATGGTTTTCTCATGGAATGTAAATCTTTCAATGAGAACATTCACCAGTGACATAAATGCGTATATGTTATTGGTAATATAAATATTTTGATCCCAGAATGGTGTCACTAGATAGGCAGGCGTGCTTCAATTGTTAGAAAAAATCCCGAAATATAACACAATAGAAGCTTTGGAAGGTAGGTATATTAGTTACACAGAAAGTAAACACTAACCGCCGCACTCACGAGTGATTTAATCGTTGCGTTACCCAGCCCTTAGCAATGGGGTAGTATCCTAAATTTGTTTTAATGTCCGTTTGGTAGATTGTTTTGAAGTATTAGACACGTATTTTTTCTTTTCTTACAAAATTAAATACTGTCGACGATATATTGATTTGAAATATCGTGTGACGTCACGATTTACTACATTTTATAGGGTTTTTTAAGGGGGGAAAATCATCGAATGACTGCTCCCGCCTGGGTGAGGCGGGAGGGAGTGTTAGACTCTTACTTACTAAAAACCACCCCGTTCGTTCTCCTGCACGTCGAGCCGGAGCCCCGGTTACCCCATAGGTTCTCCGCGACACATTTTATAGGATAGCGTGACGTAACGACCTCCCACTCCTAAACTTACTCCGTTCTACCTAGGTATTATTTTCTGTATTTAAAAAAATAAGTGTCTAATATATTTTCATTATCTAACTGACAGACTAATTACATTTTTCATTTTCTTAAACTGTCTACTAACTACCCTATTGTTTTCTGAACTAAATTGTTCCTAAACAATAGTTTAAATAGTCACTAAATGTCTCTGAGTACGACAGTTAGACCAGATGTTAGAGTAAATGAAAGACAGGTAAACACTGGACTTGTGGTAAGTATACAATTATGGTCATATTTGTAGATAGGAATATGGTTTTGTATCATTTTCTACCTCTCATCTGTAATGCCAAAAATTGCATATTGTGTGATACTGATGATATGAATCTGTTTACTTTAACCCTTAATGGAATTAAGTACAATATTTTCAGTTTAAAGAACTAAGAAAGAGTTATATATTTCTTCTTACTGTAAACAGAGATAGAAAATGTTACGAAACTGCACAATGAGGCATTATAAAATCAATATAATATTTGTATTTACAAAACTTTCATAATTTGTTTAAGACTAGGTACTGACACAACGTGTCACAGGTTCATCCCCCAGTAATGTAACAAGGAGGAGTGGGGATGGAGGTAACACGATGTATCAGCGTACACAGTGGCGGGCTCCAACTGTTCCATGACAACTATTAAATTGGTTCCATTCATAATTCATTTATTTCTACTTGGAAACTTGTACCATCACATTGCAGTCTATGAAAATTCTGGATGAAACATGATTTATTGGAGATGAAGGAGAAATAGCTGCAACATGTCATTGCCTATGCCTTATTACATGATGTATTTGTTTGTGCACACTGGATACCGGGTCAACGCTTCACAAGTCACTGTCAGCTTTGTACCAATCGATGAAATAATGTGTATATAACCGATAAGCCCACATTTTTCGAGTAAAAAAATGCATGTATAACAATGTAGGAGAACAGTGAGAACCCGCTCTGTGGCTAGAGGGCGCCGCTATCGCGCGGGGGACAGGGGCGCCGCCACTCCGGGCGCCAGCGTGGCTGCGACCGCGGGCGCCGAGGGCGCCAGGTGGTACGTCAGCCACCACGACAGCAGCGGCTGCATGAGCGCCACGAACAACAAGAAGTACACGCGCCGCTTGCTGCCGCCCGCCGCCGGCTTGCTCCAACTGTCCGCGTACGGGTTGGCGCTGTACCCGCCCGCGCCGTACCCGTACGCCGGCGCCGCCGCCGCCTCGCTCGCGTGCGACCCTGACAGTACTTGTAGTCGGAGAGTCTTCACCTGCAATACAAAATTAAATTATAGCAAAACAACAAATTCTGCTTAGAAAATAATAAAAACAAAAAAACTTGGTGCAATGAACTCACCAAGAAATAAGACAACGCAAAACTGGTGTACACCAGAGTGCAGTAGTAGCCAGTCCTGCCCATCATGAGGCCGGCCAGTAGACTGCCGATCATGATGATGTACTTGTACCCGGAGAAGGCCAGCAGGTCCAGCGTCTTCAGGTGTGTGCTGGTGTTGGTGACGTACAAGGTGACTAGGTACATGATCATCTCGAAGATTATGTATGCTAACGCCGAGGATGCCTGCATGCCTATCTGTTCTGGAGAGAACCTATGCTGCAGACCTAGAAGTAAAGTATAAATAATGTTTATGATTAAAGGTTCATGTTAATGGTATTAACTCGCAGGGCTCTACGATGAATATGGGCGTTCCACAGGGTTCAATATTGGGTCCCTTTCTCTTTTTAGTCTATATAAATGATTTGCCATTTATATTCAAGAATGAACCAAGAATGGTGCTTTTTGCAGATGATACCTCATTAATTTTTAAAATAGATCGACGTGCTAATAATCTTGACGACGTAAACAGCTCCATTCTTCGAGTGCAAAACTGGTTCACCATTAATAATCTAGCGCTTAATGAGAAAAAAACAAAATGTATTAAATTTAGTTTACCAAACGTCCGAAGTAATGATTGTGATGTTGTTTTAAACGGCCAAAAGTTAGAATTTGTCGACGAGACGGTATTTTTAGGCATTACATTAGACAATAGACTACAATGGGGCCCACATATAAAGGCGCTTTCGGGGAGATTAAGCTCAGCTGCTTTTGCAGTTAGACAGATTAGACAGCTCACGGACGTAGATACGGCAAGGCTTGTCTATTTTAGTTACTTTCACAGCATTATGTCGTACGGCATTTTGTTGTGGGGTCGAGCTGCAGAAATAGAATCAATTTTTATTCTTCAAAAGCGGGCTATCCGAGCAATATATAACTTACGCCGTTGCGAATCGCTAAGAGAATTGTTTAAAACGATAAACATCTTAACGGTGCCCTGTCAATACATATATGAAAATATAATGTATGTAAGAAAGAATAGGCAATTGTTCGAAAAAAGAAGCGATAGACACAATCTTAATACTAGAGGCAAGAATAAGTTAGCTGTACTGCAATTCAGACTGTCCAAGGTACAGAAATCCTTTATGGGGTTAGGTATTAAATGCTATAATAAAATACCAAATAGCATACTAGATCTAAATGAAAGTAAATTTAAAACATATATTAAGCGCGAATTATGTAAACAAGCGTACTACAGGGTGATTGATTATCTTGAGGATAGGAATGCTTGGCAGCGTGTTGGTTCGGCTCCACTGGACAATACTCAAATGTAGTCAGTACCTAGTTCAGATTACGATAATAGGTAATTTAACACTTTGATTCCGATGAAGGCAATCTATTTTTCTTGTGGCATCGAGCATTTCTTTCTTTATTTAAACAAGAGTATATTTTTTATTTTTTTCTTGTATAGAAGCACTATTTTATATGGATTGTCAGTATACATATGTGAGGACCATGTCAGACTTAAGATATTTGTTTTCTCTTGGTTTTTTTTTTTTTTTCTATTTTAGTATGTTCTGTTATTTGTATGTTGCGTCAGGTATGTCTTTACAGAATATGTATCAGAGCAATGTAAAACAGACTTTTTTTTAAAGAGAGTAACGAATGGAGTTTCTTGCTCGTTCTTCTCCACTCGAATCGACATTTTGGAACGAGCGCCTAGCTTCACTGACGGACAGACTGACAGACTATTATATATCTCATATTTGTTGACGTTTCAAAAGTACCAAATTATGGTCTAATTGAAATAAATGCTTTTGAGTTTGAGTTTGAGTTTGTTTGTTATCAAACCACCACCTAATTTCAATAAAACTTTTTACTGTAGTCTGAACTTTGACTTTGCATAATCACAACACAGATTACTATTATAGCAGCTGTCGTGTGATATTTCCTGTGGCGATAATACCTACTTTGTTTCCAATTTCAATGTACTGGCGTAGTTACTCGCTACTCGAGATACTTACAGCGTTCGAACATGAGGTGATTATTAAATGTCATTCTACATGTACAACTTTAGGTGATGAGTATTAGGTGATTTCAGTAATGAGTATTTTCCCACAGTTTTAATAGGCAGTAGATCATAACCAATATTTACCTAACATGAATCCAGCAAGCAGTACATATGTGACGTATCCCATGGAGGGTATGTACAGGTCCGGCGCGTTGATGTCGTAGCGAGGCTGCACCGGCGTGTCCTGGTCGTATTTCACCATCCATTCCTGAGAGAATTCAATACTGAGTTTAATACTACAACTTGACTACATTACTTGTTGCTTACCAGAGAGAGAGAGACCGGCCAAACGTCGGCCCATCAAATATAAAAAAAATATCACCCAATTCCCTATAAAACTTAAAATTCCCTATAATAACTGACAAAATGAAACTAAATAATATGCAATATGAATCACATTGCACCAGCTTGATAGGCATCAATCAATCTTGTAGAATGTGACATTTTCTTCTGTCAAATTGAAACAATTTTTTTTTCCAAATTGATACAAAAAATCTCGAGTGAATTTTGCAATTTCTATTTGACTATGTCCAAAATAAATTCAGAAGTCAGAGTACTGTAATGGTAGTCTCAGATTTCATTCAACTCAAACAAAACGATAATGTTTCGTTATTACAAGTGGGTGTGCAAAACTAATCTGTCTATTACACTAGTCTTACCTTATGTGTGTAGGGGAATATGATGAGCAGCAACTTCCGCAGCACGTACCGTGTGTCCACCGCGAAGTAGTACCGCAGGCGGGAAACTGGGACATATTTGTTTATCTCCCGCTGCACTGCCTCGCGGCCCTGCGCTGCCAACTGATTGCCGTACTGCAGAGCCATATCCTGGAAAGAGGATATCATATTTACTGATTATTTTATACTAAGTGGTTATAAAAATGGTTCTCATACAAATGGCCAATGGCTGTGGTAACTTTCACTAATCATCCATATTATTTTGAATTCAAATCCCTTTATCATTATCACAGACCAAGATAAAACAGTTTCTAAGTTAAAATTCCTTCATACAAAATGCTGGGTGACTGTACATGATAGGTAATTAGAGCAGGTACAAATGGTGGAAGTATAGCAGGAACAATTTTTATGTTTTTGAATTTTTAATTTTTGGTACATCTTTCATTATGTATACTAGCTTTTACTCGCGGCTTCGCTCGCGTCACAAAAGGATAAAAAGCCAATGTGACATATACCAATACACACAGCGCCATCTATACCAATACTTTTGTTTTCTCTCGGGAATATAATTTTTTTCCGGGATAAAAATTACCCTATTATTTAATCCGGACTCCTAACTATACATCTGCAAAAATTCAAAGCAATCGGTTTAGTAGTTATGGCGTGAAAGCGGAACAAACAAACAAAGTCACTTTCCGATTTATAATATTAGTAAGGATTAGTGATTATTGAAATGGGTTGCATTTCAACTCATTAAACAACTCATTAAAAATCTAATAAGAATTAATTGAATAGTTTAGTCTTTAAGTTTCAAATGTCATACCTGCACAATGGGTTGGTGCAGCATTGACCCCAACTGGGCTGGGTTCACCATAGGGGACTGAGGGTACCCACCCATGTAACCAAAATCTGAAAAAAAAAAAAAACAATTTTTTAGTATTTTCTTGATGAATAACTACATTTTTGCTTCATCAATCGCGTCAAGAGCAATCACTATCCAATCAGAGCACGTTGAACAATTAATATCACTTTAAACTTATATAAACTCAAAGTTAAATTGCATCACAGTGACTAATAATCAATTAGAACTTACTTCCAGGTGGAGGTGCTGCATTGCTAAAGTCTTGTGAGGCATCTAATTGGATCCCTTCTTGATATGGTGGAGGGGGGCCCGCAGGCTGGAACCCTGCATTGTATGCTGGTGCGGGGCTGAAGGCGGGACTGGGCGACGGCGCCCCCATCGCTGCTACATCGCTAACTCGCTTAGCCTTGCGGATTCCACCGCCCTGGCCCACTACAATCATACATCACAACACATCACATATTATTTATACTTATCATTAACTTGAAGACCACATAGCCGTTTAGTAAGCTTCGTGTATTAATAAAAAGTGTTGAGAAAAACTTAGTCTGTAAGTAAGATGTAACAACAAGCGCTGTTGTGAAGCAAGCCTTACAGAGAAGTTTGAAATCAAAAAGGGAAAAAATCATAATTTATAATGTTTTTTCAAAGAAGAGGATCGAGTATTTGGTTTTTTTATAAGTATAAGGGCATTAATTCACAGTAATTAAAAGAGAACTTTATGTTTTATTGCTAAATACGGCCAGATTTTGTTACAGCAAGACGGTAACAGGGTGACAATGTTGTTTATACAGATATAAATCCATACCATTTCTGGAAGCGTTGAAATTCATTATTTTATTCTGCAATCAGTCTAATAGGAAGGCAATGACATAGTAAGTTCTTCAATTAACACGATTTATTTCTAATTCCACCACTGATTGAAACACATCACCAACGTCAGATTTGTCACAACTTGACATTTACATTTTGTTGCCTCAAGTTGGAAGTTTTATATGTCTAAACATAAATAATCAAACTGTTATTATTTTGAAATATTTTTTTTTCATTGCAATAAAGTCAACGACGTCTAATAACTAGAAATATCGTTTCATAAAAGATTCACATTTATGCATTTGTGTTTATTTAATCTTTTCTGTAACTGACACTTACACTGCATGTATCGAAACGAAATGTTGTTTTGTGTTTTATAGTGTAGCTGGTAGATGTTATTTTATAATTTTTTATATTGTAATTCATACAATACGTCAATACCAAGAGTTTTGCTGATTACGAGATATAAAATAAAAGATATAACGTTATGTCATATTTATATTACAAAAAGCAGATTAAAAAGAGTTGTTAACGAAACGAATGTTATCATGAAATATCAAAACATTGTCAAACAACTGTCATTCGTACGAACTGCGAAGGTCTTAAACGTCAGCTTTGTTTTGTGTTTTCCTCATTCTATCTAAAATAATAATTCACACCATTCATCTGAGTACAAAATACAATATTTTGCAATTGAGATAAATTCGTGATTGCTTAAATTAATGTGATGGCTCTGACGAACGTGCTGCTGCTGAGCCAAATAGCGGGCTACCTGGTGGGGTTCATACTGTCACTATGTATGATAGTACCTATGAGCTTACATCAAGAGGAATTCAAGTAAGTTGGAAATTCTAATTATTCTAATTAATGCCTACTACCTCTTTATTTGGCGTTTATAATATAATACTTTGATTTTTTAAGTTGTAAATGTTTAATCTTAATTTTTATTCTTATATATTATTGGTATTTTATATAGTAGGTACTTTGATTTGTAAAATAAAATCCAATTTTCCTGATTGTAATATTATGACACTGGTTGACTCGATTGTTATTTAAATGCCTAGGCTTCTGCTTCAAATGCAATTTAAATACTAAGTTTATGATTGATTTGTTCATCAAACGTAAACTTTCTATTTAAATTGCACTTGCACATTTAACAAATTACTATGGTTATTAGATGGTACAAGTAGTTACTTTGTACGTTATATCTAAGCTTTACATTCTGTATAGCAGTAAGTACTGTATGTAACAATCATTGTCGTCAGTGGTCACTGTCTGCTGTTCTCCCACGGTGAGTGGCAGGAGAATGGTCAGCTGCTGGTATCTTGGGCACCAAGAGCTTACTGCGACTATGTCATAGTAGTCGGAGTTCTCATTTTCCTTGTATGCTGCGTTCAGATCTACAGGTCAGTGCTCCCTTGTTATAACATACATTAAATAGTATTTGTATACTAATACAAAAACAAGTCATAGTTGACTTGTTTTTGTAATAACTATCAACTATGTGTGATAAAACTTGACATTCAATACTAATAAAGTCATTGTGCAGTTTCATTGTAATGTGTTATAAAATACAGATAGGGTTACTATTGTTACGGGCTTGAATTAGCTTAACAAATCAAGGTCATACTTTTTTAATTTGCTGTTCATAAAGTCAAATGAAAAAAGTATTATTGAAATAAGTCCTGCTATTCAAGTTTTATACTGAGCAACATTACTAAATGTATTGTAATGGTTTGGTATAGTTCTAAAAAAAGTAGAATTCCATGAACTCAGATTGTAAAAGGATATGAGTAATTACTTCCTGTAGCATATCACCCCTTTGTGTGTATTCAATAAAGTATGTTTTTTTACTATAATATGTGCGATGATTTTCCTCAGGTTGTCTATGTTCATGTACAAGGGCATAGACAGTTCATTCCTGTCAGCATTTCTAGAAGCAGTGGGTTGTATTCTACTCTGTGGTCTGGCAGTATCTGCTGCTGTGATGGTTACGCTTGGCTTTATGACATGGTGTCAGAATATTGTTGAGAGGTTCCCAAGGTATGTATACCAGTGCATTCTTTGTTGTTTTTTTAAAATAATTGTGTAGTATTTCCTTCTAAATCCTTCCTACTTGTATACATTATACACTTTATTTTCTGATCTCAAATGTCCAGGTGACTATGGTGACCCAAAACTGTTTGGTGTTGGATGATGGTTGTCGGACTTGGATGTTTGAGTGGCTACAGACTACCATTGTTCATACTTGATCATTCAAGTCTATCAACTATGTAGTTACAATGCTATATTTTCAATACTGTGGTTGGTTACTAATTATAAAAATTCCCTACATTTTATTTGTCTTCTATTTCAGTTGTGAATATGCGGCCGGTCAGATCATAGACATCAAAGATAACATTACAACGAGTGGCTTTTATATAGAAATTGGCTCAGCACAGGTAATAAAATGGGATATAAATTGCTTTTAGGCATTTTGTTCCCTGCTCTGTTTTATTTAAAGGTAAAAGTTGTATTTTATATAATTGCTTTATTTTTGTCTAGTTCGGATCATGGGCCACATTTGCAACTTGGGTGGGACTGGCAGTATTCTCAACAATCAAAGTGTGTCGGTATCATCAACTAGAGAACATCCAGGTATCCATGTACCGTGAGAGACAGCGACTGGTAAACGAAAGTGGCTCCCCAACTACACAAGATGGTCGCTCCACACCACCCATTGACATAGCTCAATAGATTAGAACATTGTGATGTATCAGAAACTCAATATTCAAAAGGAGTATTATCTAAGAATTGTATATTTATTGAACAATCTTTGGAAATAATTACCAAGCTAAATTTGAGCTAGATTTGAGCATCAGATAATAATTATTAAAGCAAGATTGTTGTTAAATTATTCTGCCGTAGAATAATGCCCATTAACATTGAGCTTTGTATCTGTCTCAGTTACAACAGGTGCGGTCACAAGGCTGATTATGAACTGATTGTTATTGATAGAATGAGGTAGGCTAGTGAGGCAAATTGTGGGAGGATTACAGATAACTGTCGAAAATTAAAACTGTTAATTTGGTTAATTATGTAAATGAAAATAAAAAGATTATTTATAAATGAAAGGAAAATAAATATTTCATCCATCCATAGAATATAATAACATCAACATAAAAACAGCTACTGAATAAAATGAATACTCCTGAATGAATTTTAATTCAGTAACCATTTATACAACATGTAACTTAAATAACGCACATCCCGAAAATAGTTTGTTCAGAAATTTATATAATTTTTTATCCCAAAAATAATTAAAACTACGGAAATTATTGATATTAACCCTGTATTGTTAAAACAAATCGAAATGGACCGTAAGTCAAAGCAATAAGACACTTTTAAAATCACAGTTTTATTTGTATTCATACAAATTCTATCATTCAATACAAAATAAAGAAAAATAAACCTTATGACAAGACCAGTAAGGATGCATATACATGTTAAATTAAAAAATTAGGGTATGTATTATGATTATAACATAATATTCTAATTGGGGTGTTTGAGGGTGTGCGTTAATTACGTTACATGTTTTATATTCACAACCAAATGAATAAATATTATACTAAAGTTTGGATATGGTACTGACGATGTATGTGTAGGATATGACATTGTATGTATGTGATAATAATTTAATTTTCAGTTTGTTTTGTACAAATGGATGCTTTTATGCATTGTTTTTGTTCTAAATATTAAATAAGATGTTGATAGATATAATAAATACCCTTTGCGAAATAGATGATATAGTTATTATGTTAATTTAAAGAATAAATTATTTACTTTCCTTTTTATTACCAAAATTTTTGAAATCTGAAGTTACTTTTTGCTCTGAGAATGCTACAAGTAATAGTTAATTGTTTAGGATAAAGTTTGAAATTATTACTTATATGGATAACTTTTTCAATTTAAAATGTTTTAAAATAAACAACAATAGCTGTAACACCTAATCTTAAACATCTTAAACAGTACTAGAATCCATTCGTTTTGATAAATGAGTACCTACTTTAAAAGACTGATGATGTTTTCTGTTTTCAAATTGCGAAAGAAAATATACTATATGTTTAGCTGCAGAGCTCTGTCAAAATTCGATTATAATTTGTTTACTTTTAATCAAATCTATGTAATCCTTACTAATATTATAAATCGAAAAGTAAGTTTGTTTGTTTGTTCTGCTTTCGCGCCGTAACCACTAAACCGATTGGTTTGAATTTTTGCAGACGTAAAGTTAGAAGTTCAGATTTAATAATAGGGTACTTTTATCCCGGAAAAATGTGATATTCTCGAGGAAAAACGAAATCATTGGTATAGATGGCGCTGTGTGTATATGTCACATAGGCTACTTTTTATCTTTTTGTGACGCGAGCGTAGCCGCGGGTAAAAGCTAGTGGTGTATAAGTGTAGGAAAAAAATGTCGTTTAAAGTGTAATTATCTAAATCACAGTAACTTGTTGATATTTTCATAATAAAGTAAAACATGTATTGGTGTAATCACATATCGTTCCAAAATTAGATTGCATTTTCTAAGGGATTAATTGAAATTTAATACATAAGTTAAAAGTTAGAGCAAAAATAGCGACTAGTTTTTAATTAAATGCTTACTTTTAAGTTGTAACTTTAATGATTATGTTATGTAATTTCGGGTTATGTGCTGTAGCATGTATAGTATTATGTTAAATAATTCATTTACTCGTGATTAAATTATTATTATTATTCCACAATTTATTAAATACACTAAAAATAAATATTTAAATACTTCTGAAAGTGAGTTACTGCGATTATCTACCTATGTATTTCATAAATATCTCAACAGATCTAATAAACCATTAAAAAAGAGGAACCTACCTAACGGTCAATGACCTTAATCAAGAACGATATTAATATTATGGGTATATTGAATGCAATTAAACACAAGTTGAATTCAATTTTTGTTTAATTTTTGTAATTCACTATTATCAAAATCTAAGCATGCTCATAATACAGAGAGCCTGATTGCAATATATTTGCATGATTTAAACTTAATTAGAATTTAATTAGTGACTTTTATAAAACTTACTACAAAATTATTACTAAAAGCAAAATCAGTCTTTACAGAGATTCTTTCACAATATTTATTGAATGTTGCCTAGCGATGTGGACTTTCAAATATCGCAGTTGAGCAAACTTCTGTCCACATTTATCACAAGAGAAGTTTCCTATGGTGTGCGTACGCGCATGTCTCAGTAAGTCACACCGGATATTGAACCCGCGGCCGCAGATAGCACAGACATGAGTTTTCTCCGACGCGTGCCTTTTCATATGTCTCGTCAGATGTGTTCTCCATCTAAACGACCTATGGCATTGGTTACACGACCATACTTTTTTTCCATTATGAGTCTGTTCGTGTATATAAAGACTTGCTTTAAATTTAAATTTCTTTTCACACACTTTGCACTGTAAGTCGTACTGTCCATTGTGGATGGCCATGTGTTGTGTCAAACTGGGTTTAGTTGTGAATTTTTTCCCACATATTTCGCATTCGTGTTCTCTGCTTCCTTTATGGAAGTATTTCATGTGGTAGAAATAACTGGACGACGCGGTGTATACCTTCGCGCAGATAGGACATGTGCGAATCTTCTTGTGCTGGTAATGCTTTTTAGTGTTGTCGCTTTCTTTTGCTGGCGCAGTGGCAGTACTGTCAGGTGTTTTTGCACCACTGGTACTGTTACTACTATCTTCATTAGGTGTTGTATCATGTGCTATGACATTGCTACTTACAGTTACAGACAGAGTACTATTATGTTCTATAGTTACCGCACAACTGCCGAGGCTATGCATCTCCGTACTGGTTATAGTATTGCTAATGTTACTAATAGTATTACTTTCGATAGTAAGTCGGATCGTCTTGTTGGATTCGTCGCTCACGCGGCTATTCTCGGCAGTATTATTTTCATCATTTTCCAGCAGCTGGCTATCTTGCGAGTCTTCTATAGCTTCAAACACGGACTCGGGCAGAGGTCCAAACTCATAATCCATATCGCTGTGGTCCGAAAACTCATTTTCTTGGTTGCTATTCTCGCTGTTGTTTATTCTCTCGCTCGCTGAATCTAAGTCTTCTGTACTTTTTCGTAGTTCACTATTACTTAGATCGTCATCGTCTTCTTTCTTCATAATTTTCTTTCGTTTAAGAGTCTTGTCCTGGCCGGTGTACTGCGTGGCGTGCAGCGACATGTGCAGGATGAAGTCCTTCCTTCCGATGTACTTGTCGCACTCCTCGCAGTAGAACAACAGGTCGGAGTGCGCCGCGATGAGGTGCTCCTTGTAGTGCGCCTGGTCGCGCGCGCGCCAGCGGCAGTAGTCGCAGGCGCGCGGGCTGGCCGGCCTGTACCGCGGCGGGGCCTCGACTCGGTACTGTGCCGTGTCTGAGTACCTGCAACAAAGTGCCTGCAATGCATCTCGTGGGCCAGCTCAACTGAATGCTTTATCTTTTGTGTATATTGTTACCTTAGGATCGTATCATATTAGTTTTTCTATCTATCCACACGCTAATATTCGATAATCTTCATAGTTTTATGTCGAACATAACTGAGGACGAAATATGAATACTTAATACTTTATTATCTTTTTCTAAAGGCATGCGCGTGGGATTCATTTTGCTACAAATATACGGGCGCGGTGCGTGTTTCTTGTTTCCTCGTTCCTTGTTTTCTTTTCGCAATATCGGAGAGAGATCGACTAGGACGCGGGCGGCGGGTGCGCTGCGTGAGTGCGCGCATGCGCGGTGAGCTGCGCGCGCAGACGGAAGGCGCGGCCACAGGCGCACGCGTGCGGGCGCTCGCCGGAGTGCACGGACAGGTGCGCCGCCAGCTCCGCGCGGCGCTTGAAGCGCGCGCCGCACGTGACGCAGGCGTGGCGCGGCGCGGCGTGGCTCCGCGCGTGCGAGCGCAGCGCCGCCGCCGACTTGCTGGCCGCGCCGCACGCCGCGCACACGAAGGCGCGGCCGGCCGAGTGCGAGCGCGCGTGCTCCTGCAGGTGACTCTTGCGAGAGAACGTCTTGCCGCAGTCGGCGCAGGCGTGCGGCCGCAGGCGCGCGTGCAGCGCCCGCTCGTGGCGCGCGAGGTTGGCGCTGTCGGCGAAGGCCAGCCCGCACGCGTGGCAGCTGTGGCGCCGCTCCCCGCGGTGCGTGCGCGCGTGTCGTGCCCACGAGCTCACCGACACGCTCTTCTGGCACACTCCGCACTTCGCGTATCGTTTCCCATTCTCGGTAATAGTGAACTCTGGTTTCTCTATTATCACGTCGACTTTACATTTACTATCTTCTGGAACTGCCTCTTCCGATATGACATCTCTGGAAATGCAAAGGGCGAAATCAAGAGTATTGTCACTCAAATATTAGTTCATAATTGCACACATTAGAATCTAGTAGTGTCCGACGGGGTCGTAGACAACGTGCGCTAGGGCGGCGTCGGCGGCGTGCACTCGCTTGGCGTGATGGCGCAGCGCCCGGCGCTGGCGGAAGGCGAGGCCGCAGAGCGTGCAGGAGAAGGGCTTGGCGTCGGAGTGCGCGAGGGCGTGGCTGTAGAGCTCGTGTCGCTGGCGGAATGCCTTGCCGCAGTGCGCGCAGGCGTGCGGGCGCTCGCCGGAGTGCTTGAGGCGATGGCGCGCCAGGCCGGAGCGCAGCCGGAACGTGGCGCCGCACTCGGCGCACTGGAACGGGAAGTGTCCGCTGTGCGTCTTCAGGTGCACGTGTAGCGAGCCACTCTGTGTGAACCGCTTCCCACACTGAGAGCACTCGAACGGTTTCTCTCCTGTGTGTATTCGCAAGTGCTGTTTCAGATTCTGCGAGTTGGCAAAATTCTTGGGACACAAGCTACAGTTGTATCTTCGAACGCGTTCGTGTGTCTCCGTGAGGTGTCGCTGCAGTCCATTGGGTGCCCGGAACTGTTTGCCGCAGATATGGCACACGCACGGCCGCTCGCCCGTGTGAATACGTTTGTGGAACAAGTATGTGTGCGCAGAACTTAAGTTCTTATTGCATATCTTACACGTGTAGTATGTTTTGTCGTTAATTTTATTCTGGACTTCATTTAGCTCTAGTCTGGTCGCCTCGTCGAGTCTGTCTCTCCTCATGTTACACTGTGTCAAGTCATCGAATCTGTCCACGTCATTATCTTCGACCTCTGAAACACTAGATTCCGTGGAATCAGGACATTCTTCTTGGTGATCATTGACAAAATGGTTTCTGAAATTGACGAGGGCTCTATAGAAACGTTTATATAGTCGTGCGGGCTTTCTGGTGGCGAGCATGGCCAGCGGCTCGTCATCGGACTGCTCGGACAGTCGGTCCGTGTGCGCGGGCTCTTCGTAAGAGAAGCAGGGGCTCCTGAAACAAATAATGCTCCGTTACTTCATGTGCGTCTCTATATGCCGATCCAAGTGACTCTTCCTCCGAAACTTTTTGGAGCAGATGGCGCATTCGTGTTTCTTTATGCCTAGATGTATCTCCATGTGCCGATTGAGCGTGTTCTTGGCGCGGTAGGCCTTGCCGCAGTCCTCGCACTTGTACGGAGTCTCCCCGGTGTGTATGCGCGCGTGCACGTCGCGCTCCAGTCGCGTGCCGAACGCGTCCTTGCAGACAGAGCACGTGAAGTCCAGCTTCCCTTGGTGCACGACCTTCTTGTGCGTGTTGAGGTTGGTCTGCGAGCTGTACGTCTTGGAGCATACATCGCACGTGTACAGCTTGGCGCTGGAGTGACAGCGCATGTGCACGAACATGTTGTACTTGTTTGAGAACGTCTTGTTGCACTCAGGGCACACCGCTGGGATGAGTTTCTGGTTGTCGGGATTTTCTACTTTCTTTCCTTTTTTGCTTTTTATCTTTTCATGAGTACTTTCGCAGTGTTCTTTTAATTTGTCGACGTGATCAGTGATGTAACCACAGCTACCACAAGTGACCTGGATGAGCGCTTTCCGGGTCGCATCGTCTTGGTCGATGTGTGCTTCTTGCAAGTGTTTGACGAAGAGTTTCTTGTCGTGGTAGAGCAGGTCGCAGCACAGTACCCCGGCCGCCATGCTGACCTGTACGTGCTTGTTGAGGTGGTGCACGAGCCGCGTGGCGCTCGAGAACACGCCGGGGCAGTACGGGCAGTACAAGGTAGCTGCCGCAGCCTGGGATATCTTCTTATTCTTGTCTGTCTGTGGTTTCAACTTTTCTGCAGTAGCCTGTACCTCTGTGTCGGAATCGTTTGGCGCTAGCGCTTGTTCGAACGTGATGTTCTCAGTGATGAATGTGTTGACAGAGTCGTGCGTGTGGGGCCCGCCCGGGCCGTGCGCGTGTATGTGCTGGGCCAGGCCGCGCACGGTGCCCAGCCTCGGCTGGTCCACACACTTCTGGCAAACAAACTCCACATCCAAATCTTCTTCATCCATAATGTTATGAAAGTAGTCAACGAGAACGCTTTTGACGATAGTGTATAACGACCTGAAATGTGAATACACTTGGCAAAGTCTGCGAGGATATTGACACAAGTGATAGGAGGTGTACTTACTTGGGTTGCGCTTCATTTTCTATAGAGTTTGATGTAACATTTGATGTTTTAGGTTCCTGAAAAATAATGGTGTATGAAATTGAAATATATTAAGGAATAGAAGGGAGTGCAATGAGAGTAAGTATGAATGTATACCTGTAGCGTGTGGGAGGCTCGCCTGGAGCGCAGGGCGGTGTCGGCGTGCAGACAGCACTGCACGAGCTCGTGCCACGCCAGCAGGGTGCTGCTGCACTGGTAGCACAGCACCTGCGGCAACCTGTCCTCCACACACACCTGCCACACACAGCTAGCTCAGTTCTACACATCTATAGTACCACACATACGGAGCATTACACTTAGTAATTATTGATTGGAAAGCAAAAATCTCAGATAAAAATTAAATATTTATTTCTAATATTAATTCTAAATTAAACAAAGTTTCTATGAACTTTATCTTTACCAGTTATTAACAACAGACAATAATCACCTGTATGGGTAAGTGTTTGTGTATTTTGTCAGCCAGGTTGTTCTGCAGGCCCTCTCCAGTAAATATTGGGATTACGAACTCTGTGATAGTAGCACATGTCCGACATACATGGGAGAAGTCTTTCACATCTGCCAATTACATTACACTATTGTAATTTAGGGGAATTATACATAATCTGTCTTATAAAATATTAGTGATACTTGGTAAATAAGCAATTGAAAGAACTACTCAGTAATTTATCTATCTAAGGTAATATGTTTTAACTTGTTGAGAGGTAACAAATACAATTCGATTAATATGACATTGCATTTTATGTTGCAGGGCAACATGAAATTCATTTGTTTAAGTTACTAACTACAACAAGGTTATAATTACACTTTGCATCTTTAACTGATGATATTACATTATTTCTATGCAAAACAGTATTTTTAAAAACAAAACGTTATTGGAAACAAACAAATAAGAGCAATAATTCAATTTTTATACCCACTTTCAAGGTTAACTTGTGGGCCGCCTGATAATACCAGCTCGCCTAGCTTTTGTGTCGAAGTTGACGGTTGACTAGAGCTCGGAATAGCATTTATCATAAATATTTCTTCTGTTGCATTCATTTTTAATTAATAATTTGCACTAAAACACTAGTAAAGAAAACAAAATCACAAACAAGTACTTCTGCCTGCCAGTTCCAGCCAGTTTCACTGTTTCATCAATATCTATATCTAATAGCTGTCATTAGTGTCATTTACTCTTTCATTTGTTTGGTTCAAATGTATTTCGTTTAGAAACAGGTAGAAATTTTTACGTTGATTATATATACCTAATTATTTTATAGTACAGTGCATTTAATTTCAACTTCTAGATCTTTATTTTTATACTCTGACCGATTTTATGCATTTTGCACAATTTTATCAACAATTTAGGAAGGTGCTTAATCAGCAAAAAAGATTTACCTAATTTTAATGTTTCTGAACGATAGATAGACATCAATCAATATCAAGCTAACGCCAATTTTATCTTTACAAATGCAATGGCGGGAAGCCGGTAACTTTACAAATCAAAACAAAATAGAATAGTAAAATCAAATAGAATGTGTTAATTGATTTCATTTTTTATTTGTGAAAATTTTTTTAGTTAAAATTGAGTAAGTAAAAAGAAAAACATCATTATTATTGTGCTCATCATTACGTATCTTAGATACAATAGATTGAGTTACTTATAATCGTTAAAATATTATAATGTCGTCGTCATCCACGGTCGGAGAATACGTTGCGCCCGGAGGCCACTAGTAGCGGGGCTACCATCATCGCCTTATTCTTGTACGTGTGGATAACTTGCTGCAAATAACAAAAATGTAAAGTTAACGCTACGACTACGACTTACTTGACTTGATTTTCTTGTAAAAGTTCCTACTTAAAAATGTAAAATGTAACTTGTTTTCTTCTTACCAGTACTAATTTGATGAGAAAAACGGCGAAAGTTAAAAAAGAAATGGTCATGAGGGCACTTTCTGAGGAAGGGAAGTGGACATGACCTCGGGCTGTCGCATGCGCAGACCGTGACCGACGTCGCGCGCCCGCACTGTCATCGTCTGGCCATGTCGCATCTATACGGTCCTCTGCAAGAGTTTTATAGGTAAGTTATCTTGATAATCAATCACACTTTATGTCATAGGAATTTATTTCGAATAAAAGTGTAGGTAGGTAAACTAGTAACTTAGTCTAAGTTTCTACAGCCTACAGCTTGGTACTCTGTTTTATAGTCTTACAGAAAATCAGACAACACCGTATAGTAGTAATCTGGTTTCAGGTTTATCTATGTTGCATCCACAGAATAGGAGACATTGATCAAATATGTGCTTGCACAATTATTTAACTTACCGATATTACTTAAGATTGTATCCTTCAGTCCATGTAAATACTGAATCTTTCCGTTGAAATTTCTTCGCGAGTTCTTGGATATAGTGTCAGCGACCACTCTCATGAAATTTACTAATTTTTCAATTGCATTCACTTTATTTTCGTTTTTTGCTGTGGTGGTTGGTGTTCCATCTTTTTTGTCTTTTATTTCTTTTTTTTTATGGTCTGTTTGGAGAGGTGGTGAATCTGGGTCCTTTGTGTTTGTTTTAACATCGCTACTAATCACATATGAAACGTTTTCATTCTTCTCAAAGCCATTATTGACGTCTGATTCAGCTTTAAAATTATAGAACTTTTCATTTGACTTATTAAGTTTCCCTGTTGTAGATTTTGTATTAGGTTTGGGTCGCCTGTCTTCATTCGTGTTTATAATTTCTGTTGCACCGTTATCTTTCTTGTTAACTTCGGTGGATTGTTTGTTGATAATCCTGTAAAATCTATCCTGTTCAGTTTCGATATTGGTGAAATCTTCCGTTTCAGTTATAAAAGTTGGCTTTGTAGAATAAAAATTCCTCACAATAGTGTGATTTTTGAAATGAGATTTAGATCTGTCCGTGTTACTTGTAGGTGTAGCTTCCATATTCAATGTAATTATTTCATCTTCGTCTGGTGGAAATGTAGCAATTCGGTCAGGGCTATATTTTTTCAAGTTGCTTATGTAAACTTTTCTATGCAAAGTTTCTGGGTTTTTGACGCCATCAAGCTCGTCTGCTGCTGAGTGAACGCTGTCACTGTACGCTCCATTTTCATGGCGGTTGTTAAAATAATTTTCTTCACCTACTGTATTGTAGATAGCAGGTGATTTTACAGGGCTGCTTTTTAACTGGACCCGTTTAATGTTACCGAGGTTGGAAACTCTTTCAATTGTACCTTTTTGCTTATCAGGTTTACTTAATTCTGTAGTTGGTTTAGTGGATCCAAGTTCGTAGTTTCTAAAATCGATATTTAATTCCAGGTCATCATTATCATCATCATCATTATCATCCAGTTTGAGTCTTTTATTTACTTTTGTAGTAGTCTCCACATATTGCATGCGCTTCACGTTGCCGATGTTAAGTGAAGAAGGACTGCTGTTCCAGCTGTACTCAACTACACTGTGGTTGTTGTAGTTCCAAGGAGTAATAGTATCTTCGACATCTATCACTTTGTCGGACGTGAAGTGAGTATGTGTTCTGATGGGCTTCCTGTAGTGTTGCTGTGAGATCTCCACCCACTCGGCGGCGCCGTGTGCAATGAGCAGCAGTGCTAGGAGGCGCGTCATCGTCGCGTCTGCTCACATGTTTGTTTCAATGTGAAGCGTCGTGTGACGTGTCGCGCGTCGTCTGATGGCTTCACTACTGTTATGTCAGGGGTACTAAACATGTATGCTACGATTATCATTATCCTGTATAATAACTTAGAAATTAGTGGTCTTAGAAAAACTACGACTCAGGCGCTGCTGATGTAAATGTTCCTATTTATTTAAGTACAATAATATACCAACCTATACATGACATACATTCTGTGATGTGGGTATCTATCAGTATTTACAACTCTCAAGAACAGGATTGCTTTAGACTAAGATTAGCATTAGATAGGTGGGTACGAGACATACCTCACTATTTATAAATACGTATATTTTTCAACAATTCATAAAACAAATGTTTATAAAATTCTCCATAAACTAGTCTATTATCTGCTCCATGCACTCGAGTCTTCGTAGCACCCATTAATCGAGCCGTGAAGTTTGTTTACCTCTTAGGTTGACTGCTCTTTTGGTCGAGTGTCAGCAAGTACGACTCTGTCAAGTAAGGTTTCGTGTTTGGTTCGGGCGCTAAGTGCTTGCATTCGGACCAGCTACTGAGCATGAGTTCCGCGTCGATTCCCATACGGAATTATTCTATGAGTGTTCCATTAAACTGTCAAACACCAAGCGGTCACCGGTGACCGCAACCTATTGTTCTATAATTGTGTCTACAAAACCGGTACTCGACGAGTTAATTGTTGTTTCGGCCAGGATGTGATCTATGTGAATTTGTATGTTTCTAAAGGCACACAAGCGAATGTTAGTGTGGCATGGGCGTCTTTCTAGTGTAATCATTTTTATTGTATGTAGGACAAAGTAGATAGGGTATTTGTTCATTGAAACATTTCCTTATATTAAAAAACGGCATTTATTATTTAAATAATTAATAATAACACAATTTGTAAATCTGTCAAATATTAATTAATCTCTTATGCTAAAACATCAACACGGGGCACGGGTTGTTGTGTCGTCTTTGTGTCCGACCTACATAGGCCGGGCTACTTATTTATGTACTCCCCGACGCTTCTTCATATGTAACATTTATTTTAAATTCAAATATACAATATACTTACCGAATTAAGTCGTTTGATATGAAGAAACGACGAGTTGGGTACGTTTTTCACATGTATTGTACGTTATGATCGCAGATATTTATATTGAAGACTTTAGTCCTGAAACCGTGCAAACGGTTTTAACTTGGTACTTAGTTGTTACCTATTAAACTACTATAACATTATATTTGTAACCACATTGCGTTTTCTAAACAATGACTTAATGACGATCAATTTTCGTGCGAACACAGACACCGCCCAACAAGTTCTCGGTGTTCTTATATAAGCGGAAGCGACCATAATACTAAGTACATTAACACGGCTCAAGTTACAATGGTGACGGTGTTTGGAAGTCAGAAAGTGGTTATATGAGAAACGGGCATAATGTTAAGGACCCGACTTCTTGTTAAAATCCTCAAAGACCATTGTATTTTAAGCCATATCGTTAAAACATATATTTTGACACAAACAATTAATTTTTGCCCCAGATGGTGTAGGTACCATTTTTATAATAAAATACCTAGTTTCTGTATAATTCTTGGCTACTTTATAAGTACGGTAATTTAATATTAATAAAGCGTTTGAATGAGTTTCAACCTATTCTTCCGATTATTCTAGTAGTTTTAAGTTGGCACAACAATCTAGCGGATACACAAATCGATCTCTTCAAAACTTGATCCCAAAAAATTTGAATGATATAAATATTTATGTTACACTCTATGATTACAACGTGTGGTTTGGTCCAAAATTCACAAGTTACAAAACAATATACATCTGAGTAAAATTTATTAAATAAAATATATATCTACAATGTCCTCATAATTTTTTGGGCATATATTAACAGGAAGACTTCAAACAAATACGAGTAAATATGAAAAAGTATTTTTTTGTATAGAAATACATATTCATACATAGTTTTAGCAATTCACCAAGGTAAACTGTTTAAAATAAATAAAAAGAATATTCAAAAAGCACATACCGACAATCATAATACTAATACAGTAGCTTTTACAACAAGCACCTACTCCTTAACAGGTCAAAATTGACAATTGAAATGTATAGTTGAATGAACAAACTTGCGCACGAACCACTAAACGCATTGGAAAGTGGCGACATCCAGAGAATGCTCCCGCTGTCAGTACGCAAGTATGTAGGTCGCGACAGGTCGACATGGCAATCGTAGTACGAACATCAGAATAGGCCGTGGCTTTTTATTTCAACCTCATCAAGGTTAAAATTACAAAGTGTTTAGTGGTAAAATGAAGTGTATGATAAAATCTTTTTCCTTTGATTGATGAATAAGTTTTAAATGAAAACGTGACGTACCGAAAACTAGCAATATGTCGTAGGTACTTGGCACATCACACTTGGCACATGGCTAGACGATTGGTACACCGACCTGCCGTCAACTGAATATAGTAAGAGAATAAGATTAATGACAAAGATTAGCACATTACACATAACATCGACAACATATACATCTAGATTTATAATGTATAATTATATTAATAATTTCACGAGCTAGCTGCAAATAACGGAACGCCGCAACGAGATCACAGAAAACAGAAGTTTGTATTGCAAAAATATTGTAAAGTTTATAAAAATAAATGTATAAAAATCACAGTTTCAAGTAAAATGCGCGAATGGGAATGAGTCAAGTGGACTATTTTGGAATATTCCATATATTATGCTAATAACATACTCACTCTGCGAATTTTATTTATCATTGCAACACTCGGAAGATATCCAATACTTTGCACTTTATTGTTGCTTCTATTACTATAACTTACATTTTTCTACTAACAATGGAATATCGCGTAGTCACAGACTCACCCAGTTAGCTCTCTCTTGGAATGACGGCTCAGATTAGAACAGTACAACAATATTATTGTGACATTTAAACACACTTACTGACGACGTATTTTTTTTTTTTTTTTGATTAATCACACGAACTTATAATCCGCTACCCGCAACAAAAGAAATAAATTGACTTACCGAAAATGTGATGAATATTACTTTAATAAGTGGATTAATCCCGTTAATTACTCACGTATACCACACTCAGACACAGGGAACACAACAAAAAAGCCACACGAACCGGAACAGATCACATAAACAGCAAAAAACAATAATAATAGAACAGCGATAAAAACACCACTGCACCGTGCGCGCGCGCGGAGGGAAGTGACGACGTATACCATAACTTAGGTCCCTTCTGTCACATATCCCTAGCACACACTACGACACACCAGCAAGACAGATGTCATGGATTTTGTCAGATCCCGCACACAGCGGCAAAATAACGTGACAAGTGCCTTGTAATATTACACGGCTACATACAGTTGGAAGTAAGGCGATTGAGGCAGAAAAATATGTAAAATATTGTCGAGCAACCCGCTTCAAAAATAGCAGGTCATACTCCAACGCAGTGCGTTGCTATCAATAGTAAACATTCACAGCATTTACCCACCTCTCAACAATCTTAAAATCTTTCTTCTATATCAGGGCTGTCCAAACTATATAACCTCGCAGGCTAATTAAATTCCTTACAAAAGCTGGAGGGCCAGAGAAATGTTTTCAGTTGTATAATGTCGTTCAACGTTGTATTCTTTACTCACAGACAAAACTTGTAAACAAATCATACACGAATTTTATTATTGTTATTTATTACACATAAAAATAGATGTTGAGATTAAAACGTGCGTCACGGGCCATGTGAAAACAAGTCGCGGACCGCATGCAGCCCGCGGGCCTCTGTTTGGACAGCCCTGTTCCATATTAACGATCCCTAATATCAAAACATTTGTTACAATCGATATTTTTGTCATACGTAACATTCTTAAAATGTATATGTGATGAGAGCTAAAATATATTAAAATTAAAAAATATCCGACATTTTATATTGTATATATTGCATGTACTTGAATTGGAGTGTACTTTTAACAAAATAGGGAAGACTGCCATTTTTTTCTAAAGTATTTACAAAATATCCATATAGTTAAAATGTAAAACGTTGGCACTACTCTAGTTGTTGTTTAATTTCATAAAACAAATCCAAAAAGTATTAATATCTGCTTACAAGTATTACTTTGATCGCGTACCTATAAGCTAACACATACATCGTCACCAGTCCCATACCCGTTACTTATTACTACAACATTAATATAATTAACGATGCAACAACATGTCATTGTTTTCTATCGAATATTCTATATCAGGTTATTCCTTTAACCTCTTAGGCCGTCGATTTGTAGGCTTAGCATACATGTTGCATGAATGCTAGAGAAGAATTAAAACTAGTCTCTGAAGTAGAGTTGGATAGGTATAACTAATACTCAGTAACATTAGTCGCACGTCAGCAGTAACTCGACAAACATAACCAAACTGTACTAATATCGTGTCTACATTGTTTAGTAAATAATAAATAACATAAAACATTGTACACTGTACAAAACAGCTGCAAAATTATTATTCTAACATTAGTGTACTTATTACTTAGAAGATAGAGTTCACATTCTTATAGACTAGGTTTTCGCTTAAGATAAGAAGTGAGTTAGATAATATTACAAGTTAATTAAAAAGTATTTTAATACACGAACAAATATGTACTTGATTATTGGGGAAACAGGTTGCAAGGGACTTTGCTTGTAAACTTGGTAATTATGTGAAAGGAAGCGCTTCGTTCATTATAATGTTACCATTGTTTGTGACTTGTGGAGTATTACCTGTATTATCGCGGAACATATTTAATGCACAGGAATTTAAGTTCTCTAGCTTATCTATTTGTGACACTAAATATTGGGCCATAACACAGTAACGCCCTCTCTCTTTATAACACTTAAAAGTAAATAACTTAAAATAATATTTTTATTGTTCACAACATCATATTCAAACGGAAATGTAAAATATATTTCAAATTAAACTAAGTATAAAAACCGCACAAATAAATAAAAACAGCTAAAACAAAACAGTTGTTACTATGTAGGAATGCAGTTATTTGACAACCATCATTTGGTACTTCGGAAGACAGCACTAAGTGCGTAGCATTTGTCATTGAAGTACCATAACTCTCTCGGTAAAACATCTATAAAATACAAATCTTGCATTAACAATATCATATCCAACGTATTGTCGGCTCTATTGAATATAACCATTCAAATGTTTATAAGAAAACATTTGAATTGAATTGTGCAGAGTATATGTGTAAGATATTACGAGGGTCGTGACCACGTTACCAGCCGGGGAGACGTAGCGCGGCCCGCATGCGGCCGGCCCCGGTCAGCGCTCGGCCCAGCGCGCGTCGTCGCTGGGGTGCGTGAGGTAGCGCGCGCCCACGCGCGCCTCGAGCGCGCGCAGGTCGCGCCACGCGCCGCGCGTCTGCAGCCACGCGTGCGCCACCGACTTGTCCACCGACAGGCGCTTGCGCTGCTTCACTTGCAGCAAGTTGTTGATCAGGTCGATCGCTGCACACACGACACGCGTCACTGCCCGTCTACATCTACTACATGTCGCGACTACGCAATAATATCAAACAGTCTCACCTTCGGCAGAGATCTCCCTCCACGGCGTGGGCGGGTACATGAAGGCAGCGTTCTGTATCTGTTCATTGATGTCCTCGTCCTCGTTGAAGGGGAACGTGCCCGACAGCGACACGTATATGATCACACCCACCGACCACATGTCCAGTGACCGGTTGTATCCTTTGTTGCGAAGGACTTCTGGAGCTACACAACAATAAATAACAATACAGATAATATTTTTTGAGATATAGTCAAACTATCAGAAAAATTGTACATTATTATAAAACTTACCAAGATACGCTGGCGTCCCGACCACGGATCTCCTGAAAGATTTCTCCCCTATGATTCGGGCGAAGCCAAAATCACAGAGTTTGACTTGCGGAAACTCTTCATCCGTGGACAGCAGGACATTCTCTGGCTTGAGGTCGCAGTGCACGATGTTCTTCTCGTGCAAGTGCTTCAGAGCTACCAGGATCTGAGGAGGTCAATATTCGTTAATGATCACTTGAATGTAATTTCCATCGTAGGACAATACATTACATTATGAGGCGCATACCTGTGCCACTAAGAATTTAGTGATTCTTTCCGTGAGCCTGCCGTTCTCATGTGACAGGATCATCTCGAGCATGTCTCCCTTCAACTTCTCCATCACCACAAAGATCCGCTCGGGTGTCTCGAACATTCGCTCCAAGTTGACGACACCAGGGTGTGACAAGTTCTGAAGTATGGCCACCTCGTTCTTCAACTGAGCTTCTTGTTTGGTGGGAAACCGGAGTTTGTCTATCACCTGGGGATAAATATAAAAGTATTTTTTAGAAAATGACGTCTATATGTGTGATAATAAAATTGATGATAACGACGTAAGCTATAGTACCTTGATGGCGACAGGTCTCTTAGAGCGTCGATGCAGGCCTCCGTAGACGATGCCGAACTGTCCGGAGCCGAGCACCTCGTCTGGATAGATCTGGTAGAGTTGCGCCATGTCAGTGACTCGTTCCTCCGTGCTGCCCTCGCCCTCCGCCTCCGCCAGCGCGCAGCCCCGGGCCTCGGCTATACACGGGAATGACACTTTTCCGATTGTTAATATTGTTGACACGTTTGAATTGATTTAGTATTGTTATATGAATGAAGAATATGTTTTGGATGAAAATGGGATGGGTATTAGTATTGTTAAGAATAATGCATACAAAAGCAGTCGGGTCATGTTTAAGGTGAAGAAAATATTCAAAAATATAGGAAACTAAGATCTATCTTAAACTACTACATGATTAGTTATAGATTGATCTTCATTAAGAATAATTGAATGAGACGTAAAGAGCAAATAGCAACCACAACGTATGCAAATGAGATTGTATAGGATGGTGCGGCACGGTGTCGGGCGGAGCCTCACCCGAGTGGTGCGTGACGGGCAGTAGCGCGTGGCGCACGGCGGTCTCCCAGGAGCGCGCGAGGTAGGCGCCGAGCCCCGAGTCGGGCGGCGGCGGCGCGGCGCCGGCCCAGGCCTCCTCCACGCCCACCAGGTAGTCCACGTTGGCCGTGCGCACCTCGAAGCAGTGCATCACGTCTGCACACACACCAACCACGTTACTCTCCATTCTTACCGAATACCTCAAAGCCGTGGTCCCCGGTCATACCTGTCCCGGGATGTGGTTGCCTAGCAGTGTCGATAGCCAGGATCTCGTTGAGCGGGATCTCCTTGTAGTACTTGCTGCCTTGTTCCGATGTGAACAATGTGATCGATTTGCTGTCCAGACGCCAGTAGTGACGTTTCAACTGCAAGGTAACACGATGTTTATCAAAAGCCATAATATCATAGGTTTATTTCACCAAATATAAGTATAAAGTAAATCGGCGAGTATACTAACAGTTTTATCCTTATTCGTGAAGTGTACGAGCCAGCCCTCTTTGAGCCACTGTCCGTCCCTCTTCTTGGTGTGTTTGACGGACTGTACGATGCGCATGAGTGGTATGTTGGCGCTGGGCGAGGAGGACGAGCTGTAACGTGCACACGAGTCAGATCTACAAGGACAGGGGGGTGCTGGATACTCAGGGGGTGCGGGCGTGTGGCGGTGGGGAGTGGTCAGACTTACTTTAACTAGGACGTTGGTGTAGGTTTATTCGTTTTCAAGTTGCAGTTTAGAATAATAGAAGCAAAAAATCTTACGCAAGAAATAGAAATAGAAAATACGGTTTGTCATTAATTACAATTGAAATACTTTTTCCATGCATTGTATATCGTTATTGGCAAAAATGATACAAAGTATTAAATTAGCAAACGAACACAATTTGCTCAGTGTTTCAACAAATTTTTAATGAAATTACTTTCACTTACCGACTTCTACTCTTAAACAAAAGGTCCCATTTTCGTGTGTGGAGAATGCAAAATGATAAAATCTAAAATTTAAAATGGTTACCATTCAGAGAAGCAAGGCATGTGATAAAATAGGAATAACATGATCGATATTATTTTTATAATAAATTATTGAATTTTGTTGGCTACCCGTGGTGGGGGGGGGGGAGATAAGTTCGCGCTTTGCATATTTTCAATTATTTTGCAAATTCAACCCATGTGGGTTCCTTTCCTTAATCTTCCGTTTATTTACTTTCTAGTAGACACGATTATATCTAAGATAATTGCAATAACTATAAAACCATGAGAGGTTATAATGTGACAATACATAATGTTCTCCATGGTTTGTGCTGGAGACTATACCTTTACATTTTCTCTGGTGAAAAATAGTTATGACGTGGTTGCGGTAAAGAATAGTTAATGGATAAAAGTGAAAACAAGCTGATAGCATAATTAAAAGCGTGAATCGTAATAAACTCCGTTGCGCATGAATATACATAATCCAAGCAATAAAGATTCGAGAAGACGTCACATATAAAACTCCTGTTTTATAAGTAGTGCACACAAAGTCACACAAAGCATAGGATGTAATATTAAAACGTATAAACCACCACCAGGACAAGTATAACAACAATACTAAGACAAATACAAAGTGCTTAGTGCGAGTTCGTTACGTTAACGTGATAGACAAGTAATCGCGTTCTCTCTCTCTCTCTCTGATTGGATAACTTGGACCAGGTCAATGAGAGCGTCGAACGTCATAAAGTAGTAAAACAAACTTGCACTAGGCAGTCAGTATAGGACACGAGCCCACCACCACACGGCGCGAGACGAGCGGCGCTCACCTGCTGGGGCGGCTGGCGGACCGGTCCGGCAGACTGTCGCGCTGCGGCTCGTCCGGGCGGCGGCGGAGCTCCACCTGTAGGGGAATCACCACTACATGTATATCTTCAAGTATAAATATTACAGCGTACCAGTTCCAGTCATTAGAACTATAAATTTAAAAGTATTCGTACGTTTTTAAGTACACATTCCATCATTAAGTTATGAATGGAGAAGAGCCCAGGAGCCAGCTGAACAACCCAATCCAATCTGGCAATTTTATCATACAATTTTTGACTTTATAGCAAAACGATAAAGTTAAAAGTGTAATAAAGACCTTAATAATTGGAGTAGGTTGACCTGCTACCATGTGTAATAAACGTGCAGTATTGTTACCTCTCCATCGTCCCCGGTTGCACTCTCAGCCGCCTCGTTCCCGCCGTCATCTGACTCTTCGTCGGGCAGTCGCGCTGACTCCGACAGTTCGCTGCCCGTGCTACTGTCCTGGTACTCGCCTGAACGATACTTGTTACATTAGTGCCTACCTCTCATACATATTATCATACATATAACACACATCAAACGTTACACAGTACAATGGCACATGCCTATTCCACTAACTTTACTACTTACTATTTTTTGAATGGATTCAGGTTTAACACCAGGCGCGGATCCACGGGTTAGAGGGAGATAATGGTACAATTGTATCCCTCTTGATTAATTTGCCAATTATAGAAATCGTTTATACACATATCTATTAGAACCCGTTTCAGTCCAGCATTTTTTATCTCTATAAATGCGATTACATTCTTCCAGTATAGTGGGCCATAGGCGTATTTACAAACACAAACACCACATACACATACAACTCAGCCAGATCAAAAACAGCAATTTGTGAATCACATAAAGGATTTATTGTTCGTACATTTTAGATAAACGTCGGTAGATTTATTAAGAAATAATGCTTTTACTTTAAAATTTTTGTAAAAGATGAAGCAAGTGAAATAAGCTAACACTGCCCACACCCTCGTATACCAAATCGTGGATACGTGCCTGCGCTGAAGATATGTAGGTTAGTCTGACGTGACTCACTGTGCTGGTCGCGTATCTCGCCGCCGCAGTCCTTGGGTATGAAGGGGATACACTTGCGGTGCGCGTTGTAGTGGCAGTCCTTGCACTGCAGGCCCTGCTTGAACAGGCCGCGCAGCAGCTTCTTGCAGTGGCGGCACACCGTGGGCCGCGTGTACGAGTGCACCTCGAACGTGTGCGGGATGGCCGCGCCGCCCCAGCCGCCCAGCGACCCCGCGCGGGACAGCTGCCCAACGGCCACACTCTTTACATTTCTCAATGTAGGTACATTGTTTTACATTTCAAAGCATTATATACCTATAGTAGGACTTTTTTTTAAGGGGGACAAATCATCGAATGGCTTCTCCCGCCTGGGTGAGGCGGGAGAGTGTCAGACTCTTACTGACTAAAAACCACCCCGTTCCTTCTCCGGCACGTCAAGCCGGAGCTCCGGTAACCCGTTAGGTTCTCCGCGACTAGGTTAAGTTAACCGAGTAGGTACTCGGTATTTAATTCAATGATATATATATAGATAGCATACATCTGTCATACTTTTGATTTATTTTAGATTTCAATTTTAAGTTTTCTCTTTCAATATTATCTTCTTTAAACTTATTAACGTGAGCGTGTAAATGAACTTTTTGCTATTCTATTTTGGAAGATTATTTGATATTCAACTAAACGACCGCTTTGTTTAACCGACTTAGAAAGAGAAAGTTTTAGTATGTTAAATAACCGACTTCAAATAAAATGTAGGCGGGGTTGTGGTCGGTTTGTTTAAACGTAGCTTATAATATTATAATTAAGAATTATTAGCCATACAGAAGTGATTGCTCTTTGTGTGTGTTTATCACAGAAGTCGCATTTCATTTCCTTTCTGCTTTAAGTGTTTCGGTTTGGAAGAAAATCATGCATACATATCATGAATTATCTCTCAGTTTAGGATGAAATAAACTTAATATATGTTGAATACAAACAGGATATTATGGTTTTTACTCTAAGAGTTCAGCATGCTGTGAAAATAAACCGATGTGAACTTGAAACAAGTACATAATACGAACGGACTTTTTCATTTAGGTGGATTTATAGAAAAAGGATGCGCTTCTATGCCTAGAGGACTTATTTTACGTTGTTCCTATTTTTTAAAAACGTTCATTGCTTCATTCAAAATTTATCAATAGCAAAACACTACTCTCGTATGTAAGACTGGATGATGGGTAACATGGGAATTAAAAATAAAACCAAAAAATAAATTAAAATAAAACATTTATTTTGAAACAAAAATATTTTTCCACAAATGCTACCCACCACCCGAGTCGTGTTAGTTTTATAAGATAACGTAAAAGTAAAGTAAACAATACTTGTATACCACATTACTTCTAATCTTATAGTAACAATACTAATGATATACGTACATACATTTTTCAGTTAATTTACTAAAAAAATGTACGTTTATCTTCACAACTGTTTTATTTCACTTCTGGAAACTTAATTCTAATGTATTCATCAAGACAATAGTCAATATATAATTAATATAAAATGTACCGAAATATTTGTGACAAAAATCACGTTTTGTGTCTTGTTTATATTTAATAAAATACTTAAGTACTTTTTCTATGGAATGTCAAATTATCTTAAAATATTTAAAAATATGTAGAAAATTCTAGCAAAACATTTGAGATTCGTTAGCATTACATGTTAAAGCATAAATTCTAAATTTTAGTGCTTATTGATCTTTTTTATTTTAACGAAAATGAAAACGACTGTGCTTTCTTCGTCAGCTCATTCTACAATAAAATAAGATCCATTTCGAAATTTTTAAAAACGATTGAGATTCTCTTTCCACTCTTTTATATGAATACTAGCTTTTACCCGCGGCTTCGCTCGCGTCACAAAAAGATAAAAAGTAGCCTATGTGACATATACCAATACACACAGCGCCATCTATACCAATACTTTTGTTTTCCCTCGGGAATATCAATTTTTCCGGGGTAAAAAGTACCCTATTATTTAATCCAGACTTCTAACTTTATGTCTGCAAAAATTCAAAGCAATCGGTTAAGTAGTTACGGCGTGAAAGCGGAACAGACAAACAAACAAACAAACTCACTTTCCAATTTATAATAAGGATTTCATTGATAAGCAAAAGAAACTTTGTGCGAGGAAGCAAACAACGGAATCAAATGATGAAATAAAAAAGGGAAAAATTACAAAGCACAGAACAGATCCATGATTGGACTCAGACTCTGTCGAGTGGCATCTTGTACAGAAATTTCGAGTGTCTAACAGTGCTAGGAGTCTTTGTCAGTGACGAGCCTGGCGAGGCGCCTTACCAAGGAGTCGTCGTGCGAGGCGTGGCTGTGCGTGCTGGCGCGGCTGGGGCTGCGGCCCGACACGCGCCGCGCGCTGCCCACGCTGCCCGCACTGCCCGCGCCGCACGCACTGCCCGCGCCCGCCGACACCGGGCACGTGCAGTTCGACGGCACCTTTACAGCGCAACGCTTGTGGTAATTTAGCCCGCAACCTGCAACAAATTTATTACAACCGTTATAAATGTTCTGGGGTCAAAAATGATATCAGTACCTTCTTACTTAATCATAAGGATGGTCACTTACCTTCACATTTAAGTCCCTGTCTCACCAAACCGAAGAGCATCTCGCCGCAGAAATCGCAAAATGTAGGCGCCTTGTATGAATGTACGGAGAGTGCGTGAGGACGTGGCGCAGGCGCAACTTCTGCACCTCCGTCGCACAGTAGCGCTGTAAATATTAAAAATAAATTAATGACTAGCTGTTCTTTGGACACCAAATTGGCCTAATGAACCGTTGTTGTTTAATCGCATTAAACCTAAAACTCGTTTTTACTGACATCCATACTCACGGTTGGCAGTGAGCACAATCTCGACGAGGGTCTCGTCAGTGACGTCAGATGCGGAGTTGATGAGCTGCAGCACGTTGGGTGAGCAGTAGTCGTGGCGGAACAAGAGGATCCGGTCCGACAACCTATTCAGCCCGTTGTCTGGTATCTGATAATGTAATGTAGTCGGGGTCAAATTGTATAATGCTTTGATACACATTATTGAATATCACCTTTTAACTGTTTCCATAATTTACTTAGTTTCTAATTAGTTATTAACATTGATTAATTATACATTTCTTACCAAGACCGATAGAAATGAACGGCTCAAATAATATAATACTTAGGTGCTGAGGACCGGTTCCTTGATAAACATCTAGCTAGCTTAAAATTTTTCATTATTATCGTCAAGAAATAATTTTCTTTTTGGCCTGGTTAAACATAATTATTATAATAAGGTGGTATATATGAGCCATGACTTTTGCTTGTTACAAGTTTAAAATTCGACTTAATTATCTTCTGTAAGCTAGATCTAAAGTAATGACCAACCCAAAATGCTGTAATACCTTATCATGAACGAATTTGACGGCGAGATCCTTGAGGTGTGCGAGTGTGAGCAGGTGCGCCGGCGCCGCCACCGCGTCCCGCACCACGCCCAGCTGGAACAGGAACGTCACGTCGTCCTCCATGACGCACCGCAATGCTGCAAATAAGATCACCTTGTTACATAATTCATTTAACAAAAAATCTGCGAAGTTATTTAACTATCAGCAGCGACTTTGCACTTAAGTCAATTTACAGAAGCTGATGTTCTTGATTGAATAGCTGTGTTGCAGTTTTTACTTTATAAATATTTTGTTGCCAAAATATATTTACTATACCGGGGAAGTACCTGCAGAGGACATCGCGAGTATGTATAGATCCACACGAGAGTACCAAAGAGCTATCACCTGCTGTAGCCCAAACAATGACTACGCGAAACATTTGGCAAATATTTCATTTTCCCCGAGTTATCTCAGTTCATCACAAACGAAAATATTTTTCGGTAATTACAATATTTGGATGAACCGGATGTTTGGCAGGCGCATTGATATTGTGCGGAGAAATTGTGACATTGTTGCATTTCGTTATGACATCTACAATACCTACATGATAAATAGATAGCTAGAGGTATTTGGCTTTATGTATATATATTGTAAGTAGTTATGAATAATAATAATAATCTTTATTGTACACCAATTTGAGATAGTATATCGAGCTACAAATTAGAGAAAATAGGGTACAAAGGCGGCCTTATCGCTAAAAGCGATATCTACCAGGCAACCTTTAGAAAACATGAATTTTTCTTAAACTTGTATTACCATAAATGTTGATATACCTAATACCTTTTTTTTTAAGGGGGGAAAATCATCGAATGACTGCTCCCGCCTGGGTGAGGCGGAAGGGAGTGTCAGACTCTTACTGACTAAAAACCACCCCGTTCCTTCTCCTGCACGTCGAGCCGGAGCCCCGGTTACCCGTTAGGTTCTCCGCGACTCCGAATCGGCATCGGCCCTATTGGGCCCCATCTGTGGTGGTCTGATGGCTCTTTGAGGCGCGCGCGGAACGCGACGCGCCGTACGCTCGGGTCTGTTTCTGGTCGGACGGGGAGCCACCCATGCTCGCCGTCCGCAGGCCCGCGCTTACGGTGGCCGGAGATCGTCCCGCGATCCCCGACGCCCGGTGTGTCCTTCGCGATGGCTGGGTTGCGAGGAGGCAGCGCTTCGCTGCCTCACGCGTCCCGCCTCCTCCTTAGCTAGCATGACTGCTTCGCAAAAGGAGGAGACGGCATCCCAATCCCCCTCGCTCCGCATCATGGCCTGCACTAGGCCCGGACGCGAGAGGTCGCCATCGCCGATCACTTCCCTGAGGACACGGCGGTGCTCAGCCCACGAAGGGCATTCTCCCACCGTGTGTTCCACCGTGTCCTCAGGGCGGTCCTCGCAGTGATGACACCCGGGCGTTTCCTCCCGCCCCATCAGACACAGGTACCTCCCGAAACTTCCATGTCCGGTGAGGACCTGCGTCAGGCGGTAGGTGAGGACGCCGTAGCGTCTCTCAAGCCACTCCTCAAAGAGGGGACTTACCGCTGCGATGGCAGCGAGCCCAGCCCTCGGTTGCGACAGTCGTTGCTGCCATTCCGCCATGAGA